AAGCATTCCACCTGCCTCGGCCTCCCAGAGTGCTAGGTAGGATTAGAGGCCGGCCTGCCATGAACTCTTCTTAATAAAGTTTTAAAATTTGCCAAAGATGTACATTTTCAAAAAATTAGGAGGACAGCAAAGAAAAAAAAATTCAGAACTCCAGAGCTAAACAATGTTAACATTTTGGTGGGTGGTTCTTTTGGGTGTGTTTTTTTTCTAGATGGGGGCATGATACATATGTTGAAAAATTAAAGGATTTCTGACTGTAGTTACTGCTGTTGAATTGTACAGTGAAAAATGGTTATGATAGTAAATTTTATGTGTATCTTATGTTCAGAAATAAAATTAAACTGATAGATTCGAAAAATTAAAGAATTGTTAAGTGATAGGAGTAGGTCTTTGGAAGTTATTTTCTTTTTCTTTAAATATGTATTTTTTTGATTAATTATAGTGCCATGCTTCATCTCATCTAAATAAATTGTATTAATTACTATTATTTTAAAAAAACACTATTAATTAACATGAATTTCTTATGTGAAATAGGAGTTACATCCTGAGTTGTTAAAAACAGCAACATTTCTGAGTTGAGCCTCTAGAATTTAAGTCACCATCCTTTATTGAGTATCAAAGTTTATGTTTTTTCCAGTTTGCCCCCCACCCCACATACTGAAGAGAGTTGTGGAGGAAAGATGAAAGAACTTTGATCTTGTCTTTTAATATTAACTAAGTCAACTAACCATCTATTTATACAGTCAAGGAGTTGACCAATTCATGCTGGATATAAAACAATTGAGCCTCTCCTATTTGAGTAAATTATTTTCTAACATTTAAAAATTAAAGAAATAATACCCTCTATAGAAAATTCGTACAACAAAGAGAACTGTAAAGAAGAAAATAAAAGTGACTGTGAATCTTCGTTAAATCACAAACACGTTAATTGCATCTGCAATCTTCTAAGCATGTTTGATTTTGTTTTTGTGCCTGCTCAGGGTTTACTACTCAGCAAGCAGAAATTATTGTATCTGCATTGGTCAAGATCATAGAGGCCAACATGGATATCGTCTACAAAGACATGGTCACCAAGGTGCAGCAGGTTAGCTTTGGTGGTTTAGCAAATTAAGAAACCTGAATGTGGGGGCCTGTTTGTGGTAATGCATTAATGTCATTTTTAGACAATATTTGGTTGAAATATAAACAGTAATTTTATATAGTTGATTTTAGAGGCAAATGTTACTTACTGAAAGCTGTATAGTCAACTCTTGTTGAATCTTTATACTTAAAAGCTCCCTGTGCTTAAAGATGGACAATTCCAAGTAAACATCCTATAATAAATGGAGCTGTGGCCGGAATTACAGCATCAGGTTCTGGAGTCCTTAGACTCCCACCCTGTTAACTGTGGTTCACTTGGTGACAACACCAGATGTTTGTTTTTATTCTTCTCTTTTTTCTCAGTTAGGACTGGAGGATGACCTCACTGAACCTTCCCACTCCTCTACGTTCCTCTAGTTTCTCACTGGGATGATAGAAGGTAGAGATGATAAGAGGTGGGCTTCCTGGGATAGACTAGATTATATGCTTTGTTTTTCCTTTCCTAGGAGATCACTCTTCAGCAAGTAATGTCTCAGATTGCTAATGTGAAAAAAGATATGATTATTTTGGAGAAGAGTGAATTTTCAGCCCTCAGAGCAGAAAATGAGGTAAAATTAAGAACCACTCACGCTTAAAAGTTTGTTGTGTTGCACCATGGAGATATAATACACAGACACAAAGAGTTCACCTAAGTGTGTATCTCAGTGCATTTTCGTGGAGTGTGCGAGCCCAGCCGTCTCAGGAAGTAGAACACTGCCAGTGTCCTGGAACCCTGTAGTTGCCTCCCACAGAGGAAAGCCTGTGTCAGCTGAGAGCACCATTGTCTGGTTTTGCCCATTCTAGAACTTATTTCGCTGGAATCATGCAGTGTGTCTTGTAGCAATAGATGGGTTTTTTTCATTGCCTATATAGTATTCTATGAATATCCCACATCATTCTGCTGTGTTATATATTAGGATTATTTCCAGTTTTTGATTTTTATGAACAAATGCTGCAAAATACTGATTTCATTCTTTAAGTGAGACGTATGGGATCAGTATTTAAATAAGGATGCTTGATGTTTGCACTTCCTTTTATTTTCGGTCCTGTTTAAAGTCCCATAAGGGAAGGCCATTTATTGCCTGTTCATCTTAGCCTCCTAAGAAACCTTCTAGCAAAATGATAAGCTTTGCAACTGTTTAATTTGTGCTTAGTCAGTTATTTGAGAGCAAAATTATTTAATAGAAAACTCAGAGGAAGTAATCAAAAAAGCAGGGTCTCTGGCTCTGCACCTGTAGCTCAGCGGCTAGGGCGCCGGCTCCATAGACCAGGGCTGGGGGGTTTGAACCTGGCCCAGGCCTGCTAAACAACAATGATAACTACAACAAAAAAATAGCCGGGCGTTGTGGTGGACACCTATAGTCCCAGCTACTTAGGAGTCTGAGGCAAGAGAATTGCTTAAGCCCAAGAGTTTGAGGTTGCTTGTGAGCTGTGACACGAGGGCACTCTACTGAGGGTGACAAAGTGAGACTCTGTCTCAAAAAAAAAAAAAAAAAGAAGCAGGGTCCCTGAAGGCAGATGTGTGTGTTAAAAACAATTAATTGTGTTACTAATTGTATATAACCTTCAGGATGAAATAAAACTGATTTCACAATACACACACGTATTATGATACCACTATTCAATTAATACTGTGTTCTGAATGAGGTCAGGTTGTATTGAATGAGGAAAGAACTTGAATTTGTACATAAATACATGTTGTAATAATGGTTGATTACCAAGTTTATTTGTATACTGAGTTTAAAGTTATATTTTCTTTCTAAACATATTCTTGACTTTTTCTCTTTAATATACTTTCAGAAAATAAAACTCGAACTACATCAGTTAAAACAACAAGTAACGGTAAGGTTCTGTTTGCTGACTTATTTGTAATTATATAAACTTAATAAATACATCGGATATTTATTATGTTTTTAAAAATTATGTGTGAAATGTTTGTATAATAGGCCTCAAAAGTACACATTGGAAGATTTAGCTAAGAAGTTAATGAATGAATTATTAATGTCTGTAACTAAATTCATTAAGAAAATTGTGTATTAAGAGCAAGTAATTTTTAAATCAAAATTTTTCTAAAGTAGTCACATTGAAGGATCCCTTGGATTCTCTTAAAAGAGACCATCTTTAGAGCAGGTACTGTGACTCATGCCTGTAATCCTAGCATTCTAGGAGGCTGAGGAATGAGGATCCCTTGAGCTTACAAGTTTGAGACCAGCCTGAGCAAGAGTAAAACTCCATCTTTTTTTTTTTTAACTTTTTAAATGAAGACCATCTTTAGAGAATTAATAGGATCTTTAAATGCTTATTATGCCAGCTGTTTTTTTTTTAGTAGACAGTACAATGATATTAAAGATTTTGATGAGTATCAGAGAAAAGGCTTTATTTAAACTAGAATCGGATATTCTTTGAGTCCATCTTTGTTTTTCAAAGTTGTCTAAGGAAAAACTTTATTCATAAATTCCACAGGGACTTTTGAGGTTAAAGGCAACAAAAATTCACCCTAGACTGGCTTAAACATAAAAAGGGATTATTTGTATCTGTAAGTGAGAAGTCCTAAGGCAGGGCTGACGCTAGACGTGGCTTTGACCTTGTCTGTCTCTGATGTTGATAGGCCCGTCTCTGGAAGCCGTGGGCTCTGCCCTCTCGGGACTGGCTCCCCTGTGATAGAGGTGGGGGAGTAGCCTGAGAGGGTTTGCATTTCTTACTTTGGATTTCTCTCTTTGTTTTTGTTTTTGCCTTCCTACTAGGATGAAGTGATCAAAGTCCGAACAGATACCAAGTTAGACTTCAATCTAGAAAAGAGCAGAGTAAAAGAATTGGTATGTTCCTTTATTAAAAATAGATTATGTATTAATTTTTTTTCAGGATGGAATGCTCCTTTAAGTCCAAGTTTATATACAAGTCACAGGTATTGTTAAATATTTACCAGTTATCAGTGTTAGACAGTTTTTTTCTTTGATGATTATATTTTGCATTAGAGCTTAAATTCAATACTTTCAAAAGTGACATTAAAATCTTAGTCAAATTGAGTTTGAATTTTTTGTTTCCGAAATACTAGATTATATGTTACATAGATATTAATAAAGAAATTAAACTTAGTCTTGATCTATTTAATACTGACTTAAATCTTCACAGGCCCTAATCTTGCAAAAGTTAAGTTGATTATCTTGGACTTGATGAATATGAAATTATTAAGTAATATGAAATTCTACAATGAAATTCAAGATTGAAACATATTTCTATATTCTAAATACAATGAGAAGTAAATGTTTTAATAAAGATATGTGTTGGGTTGCCTCTAATTTTAACTCTGGATATTCATCTGTCTTCTTGCTCAGGCTTTATTCTGATTTGGTAATATTAGCTAGATACATTTTTATTCTTAATGAGAAATTAGGCAGATAGAGCATTTTCTCTAATGCAAAACTGAATACATATATGGAAGATAAGTACTTATAACTGTTCATTGTTTTCACATTTTTCACAATTTGTTTTTAATTAAAATGTGCTATAATGATAAATGAAGCTAATATTGTAACTCAAACAAGTAACTTAATTGTGTTTTGGAACTGCCACTGGATTTTAAGAACTAAATTGAGCTTTGTTATACACAGATAATAATTATGACCATATTACTTCCTCATTGTAGTTTTAAAACAATTTTCAACAATGAAGATTAAATCACCTCATATTACTAAAATATTTAATGACCACAGCATATTACTTTTGGTTACCTTTTTCTTTGTAGGGTGTATGCTTAGGAAAAACCTCTGAATTCACCTGATTTAGGAAGATGACTATCCGTGTATCTAACCAAGCTGGGAAGAAGTACATGTAGGAGATTGGGAAATTATAGGACATGAACATAGATTAAAGCCAGTGAATTTATGTGATTTACTAACCTAGCTGAGGAGTTGTTCCGGGTAAGCCTAAATTTAGACTACTCTGGAGCCCAGAGTGACAGTATATTACACCACTAGTATGTGTAGCACACATTGATGAGTTATTTGGTAAAGTTACAATTAAATTAAAAATTAAATTATCTGGTGATACTTACAGCCAGTTTCAAAAGCATTATGGTGTATAAACTTTTTTGGAGTGTGGGTAGATAGAACTACATAGATGTTATTTTACAAATCACAACAATGTCAAGATTCAGGCATTTTTCTCTTGTGGGTGAATCAATCAATGTTGAGTTCATAAAGACTAGTGGAAAGGTGCAGAAAATCCAGGTTAACGCCGCCCTCTAATGGTGATCTGATGCATAGCACTCTCCTAGTCTGAAACCATGACATTTAAAGAGCATCCTTCTTTGGTTTTGTGACTAGTCCTTAGTTGGGGGCTTTGGGAGTTTTTTTGTTTTTTGTTTTTTTACTTCTAAGCAATGCTGTTTTGTACTTTATCCCCGTGTTAGTACCAGGAGAACATTTCATAGCTGGAAAGTGTCTAGATACTTTAAGTTTTCCACCATTACAGTGTTAACACAGATCTTAAAATTCTTCATCTAAATTTCAGATTGTCATTTGCTCAATTAAATCGTAATGCCTAGCTTGGCACAGTGGCTCACACCTGTAATCCCAACACTTTGAGAGAGAGAGAGAGGTGAGAGGATCACTTGGGGCCAGGAGTTGATGACCAACCTGGGCAACACAACAAGACCCCATCTCCACAAAAAGTAAAAAATTAGTTGGGCATGGTAATGTGTGCCTGTAGTCCTAACTACTGGGGAGGCTGAGGTGAAAGGATTGTTCGAGCCCAGGAGTCCAAGGTTACAGTGAGCTATAATCATGACAGGGGCCTGGGCTATAGAGCGAGGCCCTGTCTCTGTCATACACACATATGTACACTAATGGCCACTACTAAAGAGATATGTCTGCACTGAATCTTTTCATTGACATTAATAGCCAAAGGCAAGCTATTTTAATTCTGGGTAGAATTGGTTAGTCCTTCAGTAACACTGAACTGTGACTATGCCCAAGTAGTTTTTTCTTTATTATTAAAACCAACATGATGATTTAGTATGTTACATTTGTATATTTCGTTGTGTTTTATAATCACAACACAGTGTCTTGTCATTGAATAATATCCCTTGCAGCTATTTTTCCCCGACTTTGTCTTTCTTATCTTTTGTCGTACCTTCAAGTAGTAACCTGTTTTGCTGGTAGTTATAACAGGAGAGCTCCTAAATTGAGTTGGCTCTCCACCATTTTCAACCCTTTCAAAGCTAAAAGACATCTGACACAGTATTCTTCTAAATTGGCCTTGGGGGATGCCATTATAATAGTGGGAGAGCCCTGGGGATAGCACAGCAGAGAGGTAACAGATGACAGAAGGCAAACCAGATAGTGGAGGAATGAGTGAGTAGAAATAAGAAACCTCAAATCACAGGTAAAGGAAAGAGGTGGGGAGGCGGCACCATCCCAGAGAGGATTTTCTGGGGATATGTATTCTAGGGTGTGCCAAGCCCAGAATATTTAAGGTACCAGAGAAAGGGAAGAGAGAGCAGTAGATGAGGATCTGACCATGTTACATGTTTGTTTCAGTATTCACTGAACGAAAGGAAGCTGCTGGAATTAAGAACAGAAATAGTGGCATTGGTAAGAAATGAGACTGACTTTTCTTTGTCATTTTACTCGTTTTTGCTTCATCCCATGTATAGTTACTTGTAATGATGTATTAAAAGGTATACATGCAGGCGGTGCCTGTGGCTCAGTGAGTAGGGCGCCAGCCCCAGCCAAACTGCAACCAAAAAATAGCTGGGCATTGTGGTGGGCACCTGTAGTCCCAGCTACTTGGGAGACTGGGGCAAGAGAATTGCCTAAGCCTAGGAGTTGGAGGTTGCTGTGAGCTATGACACCATGGCACTCTTCCAAGGGTGATAAAGTGAGACTCTGTCTCTGAAAAAAAAAAAAAAAGGTATATATGCAAGATTAGCGTCATGGGATTTTTCTTAATTGTACTAAAATATATACAGCATAAAAATTATGTTAACCGTGTAGTTCAGTGTGTTCAGATTTGGGGGCAACCATCACCACTATCCATCACAGGACTCTTTCTGTTTTGCAAAAAATAGATGCTCTGTATTTCTTTTCTGTCTCTTTTTTTTACTCTGTATTTCTTAAACACTAACTCCCCATTGCCTCCTCCCCAACTCCCTGGCAGCCACTATTATTTCTATCCGTGTGAATTTTACTACTGTAGATACCTCATATAAATAGAATCATACAGGGTTTGTCTTTTTGTGGCTGGCTTATTTCATATAACGTCTTCGAGGTTTATCCATGTCATTGCAAATGGCAAGATGTCCTTCCTTTTTAAGGCTGGCCAGTATTGTGTTGTACATATACCCCATAGTTTGTCTATTCATCTGTGGGTAGACACTTGGGTTGCTTCCACTTTTTGGCACTTGTGACTAATGATGCTGTGAACATGGGTGTGCAGGCATCTCTGAGGGTCCCTGCTTTCAGTGTTTGGTATACCAAAAAGTGGCCTGTCATAGGGTTTTTTACACTTAAAGATATACTTGATTATCTTAACGAAAGATAATGAAAGATTTAAACTTAAAGTTTATTTTTGCTAATGAACAAAATTTAAATTTCAGTAATTGAAGAATAGCAAGGAATAGAGATGTCTTATTATAGTTTTAATTTATGGCATGCATTACTTTTTTTCCATACTATGTTACCTGGGACTTTTGAAACTCACAAGAAGTCTCCATGAGAGAATTCTGGAATATTGAGAAATATTTTTCTCCTCATCCAGGCTTTTATTTCCTTATCAGGGAACTGCTGAGCTGTTTTAGGAGTTTCAGGGAAACATTCCCAGTGTTTTTATGCATTAATATAATTATGCAATCCCTTTATAACATCATCCAAGCTCATTGCCTTTTAGGGATTAATTACATACCTACTTTAACTGTATCATATTTGGGGAAGGACACAAACTGGCCCTTAATAGCCAAGCCTCACATTAATGAAATAGCTGATGTTTGTGTGAAGGAAAAAAGCATTTAAAAATGTGACTAGCGGTAGCATCAAGACAAGCACTGCTGCTTGTAGATTACCTAAGGCTCTGTTCATTTCTTGGAAGCATTTTTGAGTTCACTGATGCTTTTCACTAAGGAGTATTTAGGATGAGGCATGGTTATTGAGAGCAGACTGGCTTTATAGCACTATATTATTTTATAGAGCACCATATAGCTTGGAAAAGCTTTTTCATGTAGATCATCACATTAGATTCTCGAAACAGCCCATGTGAAGGCACGGCCAATGGTATTTTTGTTTCCTTTTTTTCAAACAGAAAGAAAGTGAGGCCTAGAGAGGTCACAGGTAGCACAAGGGCCTCCTTAGTCTTACCCTGGTTTCCCTGTTTCTGCATCCTGTCGGGAGGCATCTGAGGGTGGAGAACAGAGGGCACGATACCCACAACCGTCTAATGCTGTGACTCTGTTTGAAAGCATGCCCAGCAAGATCGGGCCCTCACCCAGACAGACAGGAAGATAGAGACTGAGGTTGCTGGCCTCAAAACCATGCTCGAGTCGCACAAGCTTGATAATATTAAATATTTAGCAGGTAAGCTATTTTATATAAGTATTTAAAACAACCTGAAAAGAAAATAAATCGTTTATAAAATAAGCCAGTGACGCATAATTGCATTTCATTGGGTCTGATGCTTTTTTTTAATACTTTAACATATCTGAAATTAAGGATGTAACTACAAAAAATGGTAGAATCTTAAATTTGATAAGATATTATAATTATTTGGGATTTGAGTGAAATTCAAGATGGGATATTTTGTGAATAAAATGGAAGGTGTTTGAGTTCAGATCTTTCTGCTTCAATTGGCGACACTCAAAAAAATAAACAAGAAATCGGGGGGCGGGATCAGGAAAACAATTGGTGACACATCTTTTAAGGAGTTATTTAGCTTTTGGAATTTTTGAATCAAAAGAGGGAATGAAGCCGGGCACGGTGGCTCATGCCTGTAATCCTAGCACTGTGAGAGGCCGAGGCAGGTGGATTGCCTGAGCTCACAGTTTAGAGACCAACCCGAGCAAGTGTGAGATCCCATCTATAAAAAAGGCGTTGTGGCGCGCACCTGTAGTCCCAGCTACTTGGGAGGCTGAGACAAGAGAATTATTTGAACCCAACAGTTTGAAGTTGCTGTGAGCTGTGATGCCTTGGCACTCTACCAAGGGCAACATAGTCAGATTCTGTCTAAAAAAAAAAAAAAAAAAAAAGAAGGAATATTTATGTACTTTTCCCCCTCAACTTAGCCACTATTTCAAATATTTTAAAGTTACAGTAGTATTTAACAATGAAATTTTGCTGTTTACATTGAAGTGTGTGACCACAGAATTTTTGTGATTCTAAACTTTTATAGGAAAGTTTTCTTGAGTATTAGATACATTTGTACTTTGAAGATGATGATTTCAAGGTGTAGGTGTCTTGTGGAATATGGCATATCAGTGAGCAATATAAGTTTTTAGGTTTTCTGTATTTTCTTGGTGGCTTAGGCGAATGAGTATGTGTGTGTTCTTAATGAAAAGATGTTCCCTCAAGTAACTATTACTAGAACTAATAGTACTCTCAATTATTTTTTTCTTACAGGATCTGTATTTACGTGCCTAACAGTAGCTCTGGGATTTTATCGCCTGTGGGTATAATAAAGTATCTATTTAAAGAGATTTCTATTGTTTTGCCTTAAAAATGCAGATTGTTGTTCCATTTTTCTTGTTTCAAATTTTATCCCTATTTTGACAATTCATATTTTTGTGCAAATTATGGACAAGCACTCCCTGAAGAAGTCAGGAATACCCCCGTCATTCCTTTCATCAGTTCTGTTTCTCTGTGGACTTTGTAACTGAGTGCTGGTGGACAGCACATCGGAGCCTTCATCCACTTAACTGGATAGTGAAGTAACCTGTGGTGCCTGTCAGCAGGGAGCATTTGTAACTCTACTATTTCAAATCTTTGTCCCGCAGAGGATTTGGGGTTTCCATGCAACGGGCACAGTGGCTTTAGTAATTGCTGAAGAATCATTGAAACTAAACCCACCGCACCAGGTTGTCTTCATCCAGTGTGATGCCACTTAGACACAGTCCCTGCCTCAGACTGTTTTTCCCACTGTAGCTGCTGTTATGTTAATCAGACAGACGTACTTCTACACCTGAGGGAGGTCTTTTTCTTTTGATTTCCCATGTATTTCTGAGTTACTGTTAAAGTTATTTTTTCATGTGCCTTCCAGCTAGAAAATTTTGTTGCCTCCTAAAGCCCTGCAACTGTAATGGGGACCCAATGCTAGGTTGCTCCTTCTCCCGCTCTCTTTTCCATCTTCTTTTCCCTCAGGACTTGAGAACTATAGTAATACCCTACTTGTACTGTAGCTACCTAGAAAACTTGCTGATTATCAGCATGGAACCCTACATCAGTTTGAGGGACAGACTATTTCCTTCTGGTCTTCATCTGCTTTTTATACAGGGAAGGCACTCGGCTTTCCTTCTGTGGGAGATCTAGATTGGGTGTACACTTTATTCATAAATGAGACTAACGTCATTAATGAATACACCTTTTTCTATGACCAGCTCAAATTGTAGGCTTTCAGAATTACAGAGCTGTCGTGCCACGCAACATCCTAATCTAGAATGATCTGTTTTGTTGTTGAAGACATTCTCATACCTACCTTACATCCTGAAGGCTGTCTGGAAAGCATCCAGCCATGTAATATGGAAAATAGTGTTAACAATGGCTAGATACTTTCCAGACAGCGCTCGCATATTGAAAACAAATGCATCTTAGTTACAACTGCAGTTGTTTTGGAGAAGCACATTCTCGTTTAAATGACTGGTGTGCTGGGCGTGATGGTTCATGCCTGTAATCCCAGCACTTTTTTTTTTTTTTAATTTTATTTATTTATATTTTTGAGATGGAGCCTCAAGCTATCCTCCTGGGTAGAGTGCCATGGCCTCACAGCTCACAGCAACCTCCAACTCCTGGGCTCAAGCGAGTCTCCTGCCTCAGGCTCCCAAGTAGCTGGGACTACAGGCACCCGCCACAGCGCCGGCCATCTTTTGGTTGCAGCCATCATTTGTTGTTTGGCGGGCCCAGGCTGGGGATTCGAACCTGCCACCTTAGGTGTATGTGGCTGGCGCCTTAGCCACTTGAGCCACAGGCGCCGAGCCAATCCCAGCACTTTGAAGGGCTGCTGGAGGCCAGAAATTCAAGACCAGCCAAGGCAAGATAGCAAGACCCTGTCTCTAAACAAAAAAAATAGCTGAGTATGGTGGCGCACACCTATAGTCCCAGCTACTGAGGAGGCTGAGGCAGGAATATGGCTTGAGACCAGGGGGTTGAGGTTGCAGTGAGCTATGATCAGGCCACTGCGTGCCAGCCTGGGTAACAGAGTAAGACTCTGTAAGTAAATAAATAGATAAATAGCTGGCATATGGACAGGCAAAAGTAAGCATTTTGGAAACAGGGACTTTGATAGAATGTTTTCTGCCTTTTCAGCATACACTTGCAACAATGTGCAAAGGCTGGTGGCAAAACCACATGAAAATATCTTGATCAGGTTGGCAGAATAAATTACCTGTTGTCATTGTTATGACCACGTTGGTAATAATAAAGTCATTTTTTGTCCTTTGGATGTCATTCCTAACTTTTGGGAAGTGTAAGTCATTGCCTTTTTATAAAACTTTTGCATTAGCCATAACAGTTTCAAGGTGAAATATAATTTAATCTTTCAAGTAGATCAAAAGTTGCCTTAACTGGCTTGGCACCCGTAGCATAGTGGTTACGGCTTCAGCCACATACACTGGGGCTGGCAGGTTCAAACCCGACCTGGGCCAGCTAAACAGTAGCAACTGCAAGAAGAAAATAGCAAGGCGATGTGGTGGGCACATGTAGTCCCAGCTACTTGGGAGGCTGAAACAAGAGAATCGCTTAAGCCCAGGAGTTTGAGGTTGCTGTGAGCTGTTATGCCACAGCACTCTACTGAGAGTGACACAGTGAGACTGTCTCAAAAAAAAAAAATTGCCTTAATGTCTTGATATCTTCTCCCCCTTTAAGAGAAGAGTCCCCAGAATGTGCATTTAGCAGTGACCTTAAGCATTGAAGGTCTAGGTGAAAAGCATCCCATTAAAGCCACATTTGAAACTATTGATGTAACTTTGGTTAGTCAAAGCTTGGAAAAAGGGCAAGGATACCACATACCCTTATCAAGTCACACCTGCAAAATAAAAACTCCCCAAGAGAAAAAACATCTGCATGAGATTCCATTTTAGAGTAAATGCTAACCTTGTATGGGTTAAAAACAGTGTGAATTGCCCTTGTATTCTGATAAAATGCTTTTTAAGTAACATACAGTGGGGTAACCTTGCATCTGCTACAGTATTCCTACATGTCATTCCTCCTGATGATGGTGGGTATATCATTTGTCTCTTAATTTGGGCCTTTGATTTTGCTGTGGAGTTCTTTGCAGAACAGCTTGCTTTTCGGGGTGGGGGGGGGAGGGCTTGAGAAGACTGTTTTGATGGTGTGAGTATGCCATGACTAGACACCGTATTAAAACTTCTGAGCTACCCTGGCTTATAAGGATTCAGATCACCTCAGGAAATCAGCATTAGCTCTAGGAAGGGGGAAGACGCCTGACAAAACTACATCTAGTTTGGGGGGGGAAATTAGCCCAGTCTGCCTACCCTTCTGGGTGTAGGTGGAGGGAACATTGTCTAGTGCTGAAGCAGAACTTCCAGTGGACAGAACTGTGTTTCCTGCTTGTGCACAAATCATTCTTGGAGGGCTTCTCTGCCTTCCTACTTTAATCTCTCCCCTCCCCTGCAGTTTATGTTTGTTTGTTTTTGAGACAGAGTCTCACTCTGTTCCCCAGTCTAGAGTGAAGTGGCGTCATAGCTCACAACCTCAAACTCTGGGCTCAAGAGGGGTCCTCTGGCCTCAGCCTCAGTAGCTGGGACTACAGGCACCTGCCACAACACCCAGCTAGTTTTTCTATTTTTATTTTTATTATTATTATTATTTTAGTTTTTCTATTTTTAGTAGAGAAGGGATCTTATGCTTGCTCAGGCTAGTCTCAAACTCCTGAGCTCAAGCAGTCCTACCCATCTCAGCCTCCCAAAGTGCTAGGATTACAGGCGTGAGCTCTTTTTAAAGACCCTAAGCTTCAGTTCCACTCCCTGCTCCGTTACTAAGCAAAACCTGTTTGTACGTACAGTTCTTTACTGGAAACATGTGCTTTGATTTCCATATTGGTGTGTGTCATACAGATTTTCAGTGTGTATCTATCTGTACTGATTGTATTCTCTCCGCTGGTTTTCTAGCTTATTATCTAGCACAACTAAATGTACTGAATGTACTCATTTTTTCCCTTGAGGATGCCAAGCATCTCAGTGGAAAGGCTTGACTCAAACCAGAAGTCTTTCTGGAATTTGTATCTGAACACTTGAAAAACAAAACTTCCGAGCCACCGCACACACGTCTGTACATGCCTGGATTGTCTTTGTCTCAGCTTCCAGGCGGTGTCTCCCGGTTAGCAGTATTTAGTGACATAATCTTCACTCTTGCTTTCTAGTTTCCGTCCCAGCCTCGGCCTGTTCATTAGCCATGTCAGTATAGACAAGCATTTCTCTCCCTACCCTGGTATGTATGCTGTGTTCAAAGAATTTTTCCACCATTCTGAGCTGCTATATGGACAGAACTATGGAACTCATGTCTAGAGAACCTTATCAAACTTGTTGTGGCTCTTCTGGCACTAAAGCAAAAACATGTTTAACCTGAAATGATTTATTTATCTAAAATGTTTGGAATCTTATTTAGAAAATACTTGTCTTTCTGTAGATTTACATTTATGTTCCTTTGATTATAACCCAAATCATTTCTTAACTCTTTTATTACCTAAGCAAAATTCAATTGCATTTTATTATCTAATAGAGTGTGTTTTTATCTAAAAAAAAATATTTAATTCTATGTGACTAATACACTTTTCTGATCATTCAAACTGAATATGGAAAACTAAAATAACTGCTGCCTCGAACAACTTTTTCAACTGTTAATTTTACCCAGTTGCAAAATGATAACACTGGTGAATTATATAAGTAAATCTAACGCCTGAAAATGTGTATCAACATAGAAAATAAATTTGTGATCATTTGAATTCAAAATAAATTCTCATTCAAAAGAGTTCCTTCAGCCTGCTTGTGTAAAATAACTACACGTTCGAGGAGAAATCATGAGGTTTATACACAAGTTTTTAGAAACACAAACATTTTTAGAAATAGTTACAAAGATGCAGGTTGCAAGTGATGGAAATCCAAATCAGACTAACTTAGCAAAAGAAAATTTCCTTTATAGCTTAACCAGAGTTCCAAAGGGCAAAGCTCAGATTCCGTGGTCAGGACTCAACCACTCTGCACCTCTCCCCTCCACTTTTTCTGATCCTCCCACACCTACTTCCACAAGCACAGAGCCTGTCTGTGCAGGAAACACCCGCACAGCCCCTGCGGCTCAGTGATTGGAGAGCTCCATGCTGGCAAAGCTGGGGAGGGAAGTATCTAGAATTCTAAAGCAGTGACTTTCAACCCGGGTGCCATGAGAAGGTCTTAGGTGTGCCACAAAAATTTTTAAAGATCGTTAAGCTATTTTTGAAGTTCAAACACGGTATTTTATGTTTTTAGTCT